GAATTATTGAATTGACATCTGTATTAGTTTGCTAGGCCTGCTCTAAATTCCAAAAAGCCAGTGGCTTAAAACAACGGAAATATATTCTTACAGTCTGGAGGCTCTGTGTCCAAGGACGTATCAGTAGGGCCATGCTCTCTCTGTGGCTCTAGGAGAGAATCCTTCTTTGCCTCTTCCAGCAAATACCTCTTCTGGGGTTTGCTGGCAATCCTTGATGTTCCTTGGCTGGTAGATACCATCCTCCAATCACATGGCCGTCTTCTGTGTCTTCACCTTTTCTTCCCTTTGTGCATGTCTGTCTCTATGTTCACGTTTGCATAGACACCAGTAATGACACCAGTCCCATTGGATTAGGGCCCACCCTAATGACCTCATTTTAACTGATTACCCCTATAAAGAATTTACTTCCAAATAAAGTCACGTTGTGAGGTACTGGGGGTTAGAACCTAAACATACCTTTTTGGGGGGATATAATTCAACTGATAACAACAGCGGACCATCACAGTTCCAAGGACCAAAAGTTTAGTTGTAGTTCGAAGCCAAATATTTCTAGAAGGATCTGAGATTAAATATGACTGGAGTTACATGGTCTGGTCTTACTTTTTACACAGTAAGAACAGTAAACTTGTGCCAGATAGCCCTTTATGATTGTGAGAAAATTTAAAATCCAAAAATTCAGATCTAAGTAATTGCTGGCATTCATGTTTTAGTCAAAACATCAGGTCCCAAGTTGCTTTATCTATTTTTCAACAGGATTACATTGCAGAAAATGTTAAAAGAAAATTATGTTCAAAGCACGGTTTTAAAATTCATAGTGGAATTGTACCCGATTAGTCAACAACAGTTATTGAGCAACTGTGAGTACTGTATTCCCTGAAGAGAAAAGAATATAGTAGACATGAGCCATGTCCTTACGGGGTTTATAGCACAATAAGCCAGATGCGATTTACTCACGCACGCAGACTCACAAGACACTCAAAAGAAGTTTCTTTTATTTCAAAAATCCTTGTTATCTCCATGTTCATGTCTATCTAAAATCTTTTTCTGATTTTGAATTGGTTGAAAATTCAGCTCATGTTGGTCATTTAATTGTAACGTCAGGTTTTTCTTTTAAAACGTTTAAAACTTGGGGGCACCTGGCTGGTTCAGTCTGTAGAGCGTGTGACTCTTGATCTCGGTGTTGTGAGTTCAAGCCCCACGTTGGGGGTACAGATTACTTGAAAATAAAATCTTCAGAATAATTTAAAATTTTAATAATTGTTGGGGCACATGGATGGCTCAGTCGGTTAAGCGTCTGACTTTGGCTCAGCTCACGGTCTCACGGTCTGTGGGTTCCAGCCCTGCATCCGGCTCTGTGCTGACAGCTTGGAGCCTGGAGCCTGCTTCAGATTCTGTGTCTCCCTCTCTCCCTGCCCCTCCCCTGCGTGTGCTCTGTCTCTCTCTCTTTCTCTCTCTCTCTCTCTCTCAAAAATAAACATTAAAAAAATAATCATTGTTAATGTATTTTAATAAATAATTTTATTTTAAAATTCAATATTGATTAATACTGCCTCTACCAAAACCGTCCAGAATCATGAGGAATCAACTTGATGAGGTCGTTGTTGCTTTGAGTAAGATAAAAATGGTAAAATACTTACCATATCGAACATTTTAATAAATGTTGGCTCTTATTACTAAATCTGTTGAATGTACAGCACAGAATCACCAGTCATTTAGACCCTTTGCCTGTAGCACTGATCTTCATGTGGCTCACTGTAGCCCTCATCTTTGTGGCTTTATACTTTACAAAAATGTAATCGAAGATACATTATTCAAAGTTGACCTTTGAATAATGTGGGGGTGAGGGTAGCCAACCACCCACACAGTTGAAAATCTGCATGTAACCGTTGACACCTCCCAAACCTCACTGCTAATTGTGTGCTGTTGACAGAAAGCCATACGGATGACACAGTCAACTACCACATTTTTTGTATGTTCTATGTATTGTAGACTGTATTCTGACAAGAAAGTAAGCTAGAGAAAAGAACATATCGTTAGGAAAATCGCAAGGAAGAGAAATGACATTTATAGTACCGTACTGTATTGAAAAAAAAATACCCCTGTATAAGTGGATCTGATCAGTTCAAAGCCATGTTGTTCAAGGGACAGCTGTATTTCTTGTGAGGAACCATAGAACATTATTATTTTCAAAATAAGTAGGAACCATAATTCCACAGAATTCTTAGACACTTAAGGGAAACATATGGTCTTTAAAAATACATATATATAAATTCTTCGAGATTGGAAAAGACCCAAAGAAAAAAATCCAGATGCCATTTGATTTCAGAGAGAGAGAGAAGTCTAGAAAGCATTGCTTTGGCTCAGTGGGTCCTCATTGAAAGGTATTGAATATCTCTAAATCCTAATTCCTCATTTTTAAAGTGTTCATATCAATACCTACTTCCAGGATTGCTTGGACCTGAGTATATGTAAATTCCCTTAGGCCTTGCCGGTCATGTAGTAGATGATCAGGAAAAGGACTTCTGATTCCCAGCCCCTTCTGTAGTCTCGTGTGACCTCAATCTCTTGGCCAAGATGGTCAGTCTGCTAGGAAAAAAAATTTCAGTGAAATGGAAAAAATGCCGTGCGTTTCTTTGATCGTGATTTAACTTTCAGTCTGAGAGAACATTTAGAATTTGGAAGAAAAACGAAGTAAAAAGTGAAGTAGATGGTTTGTTCCCCCTCCATTTGTGTCTGTGCAGCTTCAGGTGGCCAGGTTTTCCCTTGCTCACAGATTCCCTCCTGCAGAACCTTCCAGAATGCTTCCGCCTGGTGAAGAGAAGGACCACAGCACGGTGTTGTTCCAGTCGCCTGGTGTGGCTTGCTGAGGGAGAAGGCAGAGGTCCGCCTGTATAATCCGATTTCATCAACTCACACTAATCACTACTGATAGTAGCAAAATTTAGCCTGGATCTGCTTGGTTAATCTAGATTGACAGGAGGTAAAAGAAAAGGGACGCAAGGACACAGAAACAAAGGGAGGAGAGCCAACACTGATTTCCAGCCTTGCTCTTCCATCTGGGGCTTCTAAATTGTTCCCCCCTGGGGCTTCTATTTTTCTTACCTTATAAACAAATGTTGCTGGTTGTTAGGAGACCAGCCTTTGCACGGAGCAGTTTTAGCCACAACAGGTGCACTGTGAGTCTCCGGGACCGCGGAGAGAGCAGTTCCTCCGTGAGGCTGCGCAGAAGGTACTTACAGGTACACATTGTACCTGAGACTATGTATTATTTATTGAAACTGAGCTCTGCATTCTCTTTCTCCTCTGGGCAGCCCTGGAGCCAGGCGCCTCCTAAAATGGATGCCACCAGCAGCTAACCTTGCAAGGTCTCCTAAGTGCTTACTTTCACTATTTCCCTTGCTAGTGATTGCAAGCCCTCGCCGGCGAGCTTTCCATTTAAGCTTGGGGAGCAACTGGGAATTGCACTTCAGCAGCCGAGGGAGGAATTCCTCTGTGATTTTGGACTTTTCCACATGGATTCAGGTGTTGTTTTTTTAAGGAAGTAGCCCACTGCGGATTTTTGCGGCTGTAGAGAAGATAACACATGTTGCGGCTCCCGCCTCCACATACGGAGTGATTAAAGTAGTGATCTGTTATGTGTGTGTTCACATGCTTAGTCCTGCGAAGAAGAATGGGTTACCTGAAGGTCATCTTCGTTGTTACTTATGACATCCGTGTCTGGCAAACCAGGGAACTTTTTGCATTTGGGTAACAAAGACATTTGGAATATACTCCGTTGGATTTTCCATGTTGGTGAAACTGTTTTTGGCCACCTCGATACTGCAGGTTGCCATGCTAAAACCACCTAAGGGTAAAAATGTCTCCTGGGTAAGTAGATACGATTTTATATGTCTTAAGATATAATTTGAAAACTGAAAGGCCTCTCGTGGTTTCCTGTCAGTAGAAGTGTTTGGGAGACTTTCAGAAAGTGTTCGCCTTAGAGAAGCGTAGAAGTGTCTTTATTAGTGTTAGGAATCCTTTGGCAAAAGCCTGGCGGTGTGCTTGCTAAAATATGGACGATGACAGGTGTGCTTGCTAAAATATGAACTATAACACATGTAAACTCTTGGTTCGTTTTGCCACTTTTAAGTTGCTTCGGATTCACATCTATACCCAGAATTTAACATGCATCAATGCAAAGTCAAGGCTGGTTTGAAGATGTTTTTAACTGTTCGTGCTCAGTAAAGATAGCATAGATTGATAGTATTAAGTCAAATTTTACGGGTAGGATGTGCAGAGTTTTCATTATTTGGGCCTACCGTTCCCTTTTTTGTCCTTCGAAGCGCGATAGCAATAGTTATTTCTCAGTTTTACACGTCTGATTAAATTCTGTCAATCAATAATGGACACGTACGAGGAAAATTTAACATTCCAGGAATAACATGACATGTTAATCCTAATCAAGTTTGACTCTTGAATGTTGTTTCAAGTTAGTTTCCTACAAAAGTACAAAATATATTGAGCTTAAAATAATGAGAACAATCTGTAAACTCTTAAACAAGTGGCTTTCATTCTCTGCTATCATGTTTAGCGAGCTTGATACATTAAAATTAACAGGCAAATGGATTCCCTTGTACTCTCCGTATAAAGTTGGGTCTCGAACACCAATGTTTTTAGCCGGCACCGGCACGTGCAACCCAACCATATTCATTGCAGACTTTATTAGATTTATGATTGTGGTCTTTGCTTAAAGTAACTTGGGGAAAATAAATGATTCTATTTTTACTGCCTTAATTTGAAATCTAGCTGATTAGGCCTTTCTTTCTTTCCATGAAAGAGCACAGTACATACTTGAAAATGGTGACTGATTTCTTTTCTTTTTTTTTTTTAATACTTTTTTTAACGTTTATTTATTTTTGAGACAAAGAGAGACAGAGTATGAACAGGGGAGGGTCAGAGAGAGGGAGACACAGAATCTGAGACAGGCTCCAGGCTCAGAGCTTCCAGCACAGAGCCCGACGCGGGGCTCAAACTCACGGACCGTGAGATCACGACCTGAGCCGAAGTCGGACGCTTCACCGACTGAGCCACCCAGGCACCCCGACTGATTGCTTTTCTTGACGGTTGTTCTGTATACTACTTAAGGAAAAGAGATGTATCTTAGTTTGAAACACAATTCCCCCAATTATTTCAAACAACTGGCAACATTTTTTGCGAGTTGTTCATTGTCAGAAATTAATATTGGTATTCTTTGTCTCAATACTCTTGCCGCTGTTGGTTTTTCGTCTCATCCCAGTATAACCAAGGGGTATGATTCACAGACTCGTGGCCTATTCACTGAGTTTCTTTCCCACTCTGTAAGGATGGCTCCAGCAGCTAATTCTGATTTCCAGTTGGGTCTCTGCCACTTTCTCCCAGTACGTAAACACCGAAGAAAGGAGTAGTTGCAAAAGTATATCCCCTCCCTCATCCGATTAATCCCTTCTAAAAGATTATTTCCCCCAAAGCAGTGTCTGCCTAATGGGGTGTTTCTGCTGTGAGGGCAAAACTCGAACCATTTTATAAGCTTCGATCACCATCGCGTCTGGTTTCCTTCAGACTCAGTTATGCCAGTATTTTGTTAAAAGTTCAAGTTGTTGGCTAAAAATGTAAAAACTGATATTTTAATAGAGTCGGGATACTTGTATTTTCTTAGGTTATAGTTTTCACTGTCTATTCCACTGTATAAATGTATAAATGTCACTGTACCCGGGCTTGTCAGAAGCAAAGTTTAGGAGTTGAATTACTGTTACATACAGAGAATATAGTAATTTGGTTCGTGTGCGCTGATTGTGCGGTGAACCAACACTGACTGTTCATTGGTGTTATGAAATGACTTATTTTAAATATAGGGCACAGACAGACACCTTTGGATGTTGACCTTCACTTCGGATTTAATCAGTGTGCTTGTTTTAGGCATTGGATGACATTTCTCTGGGTTTTTTGGCTATGTGGAGGGAAATGTATCTGGTAGTCCTGCCTTTGCCATTGGCCACTTTCCATTCGAGCATTTATTTAGACTTGAAGTCAAGAGAAGAATAAAATGATTCATCTCATCTGAAACCAAACAGGCAACCTCTCTTTGGAGAGAGTGGGTCTTCTATCTCTCTCCCCCTGGTTCGTCTTGAGTATTCCTTAGATATGCCTTGCCCCATCTGGTAAACACGAACACGTATTGCCAGATATCACAATCCGTAGGGAAACGCCACTTTCTTTTTGTGGGGGCGCCCTCTAAGGCAGTGTGTTTCCCGGGCACCTGCTCCTATCGTTCCCGAGAGTTTCCCTGGCTCTAAAATGAGTAAGAACAGAAACTACCTGCTTCTCTTGAGATGTGAGGGTTAGCAGGTCCTTTTGCTGTGCGGGTTCGACGATCATTCCACAAAAATTTACTGGACGCCTCTTCTGTGATATTCTCAGCACTGAGGAAACAGCAGTGAATAAGATCCTCAAAAATCCCCGTCTGCCCTGAGCTCACATTTTAGTGAAAGGAGACAGACAAAAAGCAAACACATAAGCACTGTGCGATGTGGTGAATAAACTAGAGCAGGGACTGGCTTAGAAAGTGCCAGGAATTGGGGGGGGGGGGTTGCCAATTCCTTGGTCAAACTATTTGAGCAAATGCTTCAAGAAGGTAACAGAACCAGCCATGTGGAAATGTAGGAACCAAGTATTCCCAGCAAAGGAACGTTCAGGTACCAAGGTCCTGAGCAGGAACGTACCTGGAGTATGCTAGCATGGCTGGGCTGCAGGGACATTCTTAAAATTGCTTTGTGCCTCCTGTATGCACTTTTTATATCTTTGGTAACTGTTTCACAGGGGATTCCAGGGCAGATCTCAATGCCTCTATTCAAATCTCAGAGACTGGAGGTATGCAGAGGCTTCCTAGGACAGCAGTCACCACACTTGCCAAATAAAGGTTACAGACAGCACAAAGAAAGGGGAGGGAACGGATCATCATGGCACATTCACGCTTGATAGAACGTGTTATGGCCCTTTTTTTCCCCTTTGGTTCTTTATTTCCTTTTTTTAAATTTATTTTTTTAATTTAAATCCGTTAGTTAACATACAATATAATAATGATTACAGGAATAGAATTTAGTGATTCATCACTTACGTACAACACCCAGGGCTCACCCCAACAAGTGCCCTCCGTCTTGCCCATCACCCATTTAGCCCATCCCCCCCACCCAACACCCAGCCAGCAGCCCTCAGTTTGTTCTCTGGATATGAGTCTCTTATGGTTTGTCTCCCTCTCTGTTTTTATCTTATTTTTGCTTCCCTTCCCTTATGTTCATCTGTTTTGTATCTTAAATTTCCACATATGAGTGAAATCATATGATATTTGTCTTTCTCTGACTCACTTATTTCGCTTAGCATAACACACTGTAGTTCACCCAAAAAGTGTTATGGCCCTTTAGAGTTCAGAAGTTTGTTTATTTTTTAATGTTGTTGAGAGTTTTACACATAAGCATAATGATGTTTTTGGAGTAACAGAAATTAGAACAAATTTTAAAGTAATGTTAAAGATAGTATCTAGAGGGGCGCCTGGGTGGCTCCATCGGTTGAACGTCCGATTTCGGCTCAGGTCATGATCTTGCGGTCTGTGAGTTGGAGCCCCGCGTCGGGCTCTGTGCTAACAGCTCAGAGCCTGGAGCCTGCTTCGGATTCTATGTCTCCCTCTCTCTCTGCCCCTCCCCTGCTCAAGCTCTGTCTGTCTCTCTCTCTGTCAAAAATAAATAAACATAAAAAAAAAAGATAGTATCAAGAAAGAATAGGGGTGCCTGGGTGGCTCAGCGGGTTCAGCATCTGATTTCAGCTTAGGTCATGATCTCCCATTTCGTGAGTTTGAGTCCCACCTCAGGCTATGTGCTGACAGCTTAGAGCCTGGAGCCTGCTTTGGATTCTGTGTCTCCCTCTCTCTCTGCCCCTCCACTACTCACGCTCTCTCTGTGTGTCTCAAAAATGAATGAACATTTAAAAAACTTTAAAAAAAAGAAAGAATATTTAGGGACAAGGATTCAGATCTATGGAACACAGCTTTCCCAATGACAGTTTTTTAATAAAAATTTTAAAGCTTATTTGTTTATTTTGAGAGAGAGAGACAGAGAGAGCGCACATGAGCAGGGGAGGGGGAGAAAGAGAGGGAGAGAGAATCCCCAAGCAGGCTCTGCTCTGTCAGTGCAGAGCCGGATGCAGGGCTCAAATTCATGAACTGTGAGTTCATGACCTGAGCTGAAATCAAGAGTTGGACGCTTAACCGACTGAGCCACCCAAGCGCCCCTCCCAGTAACAATTTTTACTTTTTGTCAGGATACAGTTAAGTACACAATATGAAACTTTATTGTGAATCTCCACATATTCTTTGACTATAAAAAATTCTTTCCGAAGTCTGGGTTTTGAGACATGGTCATGTGGGCATTTGTTCATTAAAGCTGTATGGACCCCTTAAGGCTGTAGATGTGACTTTATGCCACACTGACCTACTTTGTTGAAAAGTTGCTCTGCCCTGAAAATACAGAAATAAAAGACCCGACTTAGGATCCAGTCACTGAGCAAACTCCCTTGTCGTTCTTTTAATTCTCAAGAGCTGAAATCAATCACACTCAAGTTTCTGACATCCCAAACCTGTGATCCCCTTTAAAATTATTATTTCTATATAGTAGGTAGTATATTTCATTAGCTGCTTTTCTGTTTTTTTACTTTGTACCATAAAAAGCAAAAATAAAATTTATGTAAAAAAATGAAGGCAGGCTATAAAGGACATAAATGAATTATATTCTCCTAACAGAGTGCTAGAGATTAAGTAAGAACTCAGAACTTTGAGGTCTGCTGTCTATTTCTTGATAGAGATGCTCCTAGCAAATGCATTAAGAATGCACCGTTATTATCTTATAAAATACATGTTACTAGAAGTTAGCTAAAAGACGAACATGAAAATGAAATATACTACAAATAGGATGGCACCCTAATAGGTTTCTGACGTGGAAAAGCTATCTGTCCTCCAGCAAGAAACTCTATCTCCCCTCCTTGGTCAGTTGACTCTATATTTCATCTTATTTCCATATAAATGTCTTATTCAGGTTGTCAAGGATTCACTAATCTTCTGAGTTTTTTTTAATTAGTTAATTTGTAAATTTACATCCAAGTTAGCCTATAGTGGAACAATGATTTCAGGAGTAGCTTCCTTAATGCCCTTTACCCACTTAGCCCCTCCCACCTCCCCAAACCCCTCCAACAACCCTCTGTTTGTTCTCCATATTTAAGAGTTTCTTATGTTTTGTCCCCTTCCTTGTTTTGATGTTATTTTTGCTTCCCTTCCCTTATGTTCATCTGTTTTGTTAACGTCCTCATACAAGTGAAGTCATATGATATTTGTCTTTCTCTAATTTCACTTAGCATAATACCCTCCAGTTCCATCCATGTAGTTGCAGATGGTAAGATTTCATTCTTTTTGATTTCCAAGTAATACTCCATTTTATATATATATACCACATCTTCTTTACCCATTCATCCATCGATGGACATTTGGGCTCTTTCCATATTTTGGCCAGTGTCGATAGTGCTGCTGTAAACATGGGGGTGCATGTGTCCCTTTGAAACAGCACACCTGTATCCCTTGGATAAATGCCGAGTAGTGCATTTGCTGGGTCGTAGGGTAGTTCTCTTTTTAGTTTTTTGAGGAACCTCCATACTGTTTTCCAGAGTGGCTGTACCAGTTTCTGAGGTGTTTTTTTTTTTTAACCTCTCTGATACATACTTAATGTCTGTCTTGATGAACTTAAAGTTGAATGGTGTTATTATGACTTTGTCAGAGATTTATCTCTTCTTGGCTTCACTTCACTAGATATATAAGTTTCACTGCAGTATCTAGACTACTGGTCTTTCAGTCAGTAACAGTTTCTGAAAATATCCAATTTTATATTTTCCTTTTTTATGCTCTGAACATATGCTGCTGTCATCGGAAATACTTCCCCATTGTTGTTTTCTCCCCTCTTTCTCCTTGTTGGGATACATTAGGTTTATTAGACTTATTTCAAACACCTGTGCAGATTTTAATATTTTTCACCTTCGCTCACAACTGACAGGAAATCAGAGTGTGTCTAGTGATACAGATAAAGTATTTACTTTTGCTCATAGCCGCTGAGCAAATTTCACGTGTGGAGATGGGTTTTTTTTTTTTTTTGTCCTTCCTATATATTTATTTTTTAATTTTTTTCTCTTTTCTTTCCTTTTCTTTTCTTTTCTTTTCTTTTCTTTTCTTTTCTTTTCTTTTCT